TCTGTATAGACAGGCAATGACAAGGAAGTCATGTGGTTGGGTTTACAGCCAATGAGAAGGCAGAACAGAAAGGCAATAAAAATACAACACACAGGAAGTAGATCTCTTTCTCAGGGGAAGGACAGCATTGATGGTGAGTGGTAAGAAGGTGGTCTTAGCTCTTGGCTGCTGCTCTCTGATCTCTGGGCTTTTAACTCTGCATTCAGCTCGGTGTTTCTTATTTAATAAGACTGTTTAGAATTACATCTACACATAATGGAAGATGAGAACTAGCTCCCAAAACTTGTTCTCTGATTTCTACATGTGTACACCACTAAGTCAAACATCACCCATCACACACCACACACAAAAAGCAATTATTTTCCTCAATTTCAAAACCCCAGAATCTACTCCCAAAATGGATTCAAGTCATTGATAATGGCTTATCATGTATAACATCATGTAAAAAAAACTTCTCTCAGCTGGGCAGTGGTGGTGCATGCCTTTAATCCCAGCACTCCGGAGGCAGAGCCAGGCAGAACTTTGTGAGTTCGAGGTCAGCCTGGTCTACAAGAGCGAGTTCCAGGACAGGTTCCAAAGCTACACAGAGAAACCCTGTCTTGAAAAACAAACAAACAAAGCACTAAAAAGAAGCTACAAATTTCAGTTCCGTGGTTCAACTATTATAACACAATAACTAGTAAAATGTACCTCCCCCGCCTGTAAATCCACAAAGTCCACATGAGAAAAGTCCCTGTAGGAAGCTACTCAATGGGAGGGCCGCAGGGTGTAGTGTGAGGCCATCAACACATGATCAGCCCAATCAATTTCTACACAGAGTATTTGCTTTGGGCTTTGTAGCTATTTCCTTGTTCTTAACAGAAGCAATGGTTACAATCAAGGTGTTGCCTTCAATATTGAATTAGCTGCTTTGCAAATTAAAATGTATTTAATGCTTTGTTAACATTGTAAATCTTTCTTGCTAATGTTAAAATTTAAAACTTTCTCAAAACTCCCCTCTAAAGAATTAAGAGCACTTGGTTCTTGAACAAGACCCAGGTTCAATTCCCAGCAACCACAAGACAGTTCACAATTGCCCATAACTCTAATTTCAGGAGAACCAATATTCTCTTTTCTTTTTCTTCTTTTTCTCCTCCTCCTCCTCCTCCTCCTCCTCCTCCTCCTCCTCCTCCTCCTCCTCCTCCACCTCCTTCTTCTTTTTTTGAGACAGGGTCTCTACATAGCCTTGGCTGTCCTAGAACTCACTATTTAGACCAGGCTGGCCTTAAACTGAGATCCTCCTGCCTCTGCCTCCATAGTGCCCCAACACCCTCTTCTGACCTCTGAAAGTAGCATTCATACAAGTGATGTAAAGACAGACATGCATCCAAAACAATCATACACATAAAGTAAATATACCTAAAAAATTATGTTTTCTCAAATTCCTTTTTCCTAAATAACTTCTCAGTCATATTTATACATAGGTATAGATACAAAGAAGATATATAAAACTGCTTTTTTGTGGTGGTGGGTTTTTTTTTTGAGACAGGATTTCTCTGTGTAACCCTGGCTGTCCTGGAACTCACTCTGTAGCCCAGGCTGGCCTCAAATCTACAGAGATCCACCTGCCTCTGCCTCCCGAGTGCTGGGATTAAAAGCATGCGCTACTACTGTCTGACAAAACTGTGCTTTTATTCCCGGTGTATTTATACTACCTGTTAACCATCACCATAAAGAAATATCCGAGCCGGGCGGTGGTGGCGCACGCCTTTAATCCCAGCACTCGGGAGGCAGAGCCAGGCGGATCTCTGTGAGTTCGAGGCCAGCCTGGTCTCCAAAGCGAGTTCCAGGAAAGGCGCAAAGCTACACAGAGAAACCCTGTCTCGAAAAACCAAAAAAAAAAAAAAAAAAAAAAAAGAAATATCCGAAAGGCTAAAGACATAATGGCTCACTGGTTAAGAGCCCAGGCTGCTGGATTCAATTCCCAAAACCCACAGAGTGGCTCAACAACTGTCTGCAACCCCAGTACCAGAGGACCCAACCTCTACTGGCTCCCGCTGACACCAGGGAAGTACATAGTACACAGACAAACACCCAGGCAAACGCTAATAACAAAAGCCAGGTGCACCCCTTTAATCCCAGCACTTGGGAGGCAGAGGCAGGCTGATCTCTGTGAGTTTCGGGCCAACCTGATCTACATAGTGAGTTCCAGAATGGCCAGAACTAACTAACCAGGTTTAAACCCTCAAAGCCAGTTATCAGCAAAATATAAATAGAATTTCCCACCTGAACTGACTCTCCATCCACAACACACACATACATACACACACACACACACACACACATACACACACACACATACACACACACACATATACACACACACATACACACACACACACACACTTTCTCCCCACCCCCCTCTTTTCCATGGAGCCTTGAAGAAGAAATGGAGGCAATCTGACAAAAAATGCAGGATTTCACAGGGAGACTAAGTTCATCATGTCACCTCACCATGATCCATTGTTCCTCCTTAGTTACAACTCTCTCAATCTATCAAAACTCAAAACTGCTTCATTTGCAAAAATAAAGATGATCACAGACTAATTTTGAGTGTAGGGGAAAAAAAAAGAACTTAAGTAAAATAAGCTTGAATAGTACGTACTTAAACTTTTTCCTGAGCTCAAATTTTTGAAAACAATTTAAAAACTGTAATTCCCCTCCTAGATATCTGACAGCCTAGGGATTCCAAACTAGGTCAATGGGGCTAGACAAGGGAGATACCAGAATGAAATTAGGTCCTGGTGGTTCACTCCTGTAATTCTAGCAGTCAGGAGGCTGAGGCAGGAGAATTACTTTGAATTTGAAGTCTGCCTGGAATACAGAATAAGGCTTTTGTCTCCAAAAACAAGAGGCAAAAAGAAAAAAAAAAAAACTGAACAAAGCCAATTCCTGCCCTTCAGACACAGAAAATACAGCATAGGACAGAAATCTGACTGTTACAAAGAGAAATGTAGTTCCGGGTTGGGAGGGAGGAGTTCGCAGTCGCAGGGATGGGTGTTGACCCCAAGGACTCCTCTGGAAGGAAAGCAAATTGGGAAGACTGCTTTTCTCATGCTAAACAAACACACATACAAAGGGAGACCACAGAGTGAGTACCATCATTAAGCTTTGTTTGGGACTCACTCACAGAAATTAGTTACATCACATTATTTTCTCCTTTGTGGGGTAGTCAGAGGCAAGCCAAAGAATCTCTCTGCATTCTCTTTTCTCATTTACAGAATTAGAATAATAATATCTAACTCAAAAGGAAGATTAAACACAATCATGAATATGAAGCACACAATAAAACCTGGAAAATTGGTAATTGTTGCAATAATTAGGTGCAAAAGCATCCAGAACCTCTTAAGTTGGAATTGAGACCAAGAGACTGATCCCTAAGAAAGGTCTTTCTTAGAAACCCTGTCTCAAAGGAAGAAAAGAAAAAGGTCTTTAGTGGAGAAATCCTGTCTCAAAACAAACAAACAAAAGAATGAAAGGTCTTTCATGCCAAGTAAGTTAGAATGGGGCAGTGTAGTAAGCCTACCCACCTGAGTGGACCATAATGAACCCATAGAGAGGAAGGAGAGAACTAACAAGTTCCTCCACATGGATGCTGTGGCACAACATATTGTCCACACACATCAAGAAACGGCCCAGCAGTGGTGGCACACGCCTTTAATCCTAGCACTTGGGAGGCAGAGGCAGGTGGATCTCTGTGAGTCCAAAGCCAGCCTGGGCTACGGAGTGAGTTCCAGGACAGGCACCAAAACTACACAGAGAAACTCTGTCTGGAAAAACTAAAAACAAAAGAAAGAAATGCACTTTAAAATTTTTAAAGAAGTTAGGAGAGCTGGAGAGATAGCAGAGAGGTTGAGAGCACTGCTGCTCTTCCAGAGGACCTGCTTCAACTCCCAGCACCCCCAAGGCAGCTCACAACTGTCTGTAACTCCAGTTCCATGGATCCAAAACTTCACACGGATCAGACATACATGCAGGTAAAACACCAATGCATATAAAATTAATAATTTCTTTTTAAATTTTTTTAAAAGTTAGAATTGTTTCAGACAAGACCATAGAGGATTTTAGCCCGAAGGAAAAGATTAAACACTTGCTTTAGAGAAAAGAACTCAAGTCCATGAAGGGTAGTCAGGGAAAAGTATGTAGAAGGGTATCTGAGAGAGGGGGATGAATTCAAGTAATTTCAATAAAATCTGGAGAAACAGCATGCATTCACATATCTTCCTAAATTGAAATCTACAAGTCTAGAGGCAGGACGACTTTGGGAGATTTGAACACGGAAGTGATTAGCATTCCTTTCATTTAGGAAAATGATGGAGTGCAGAGCAGATAAGGAGCTTGATCGCAATTGTTTTGTGCCCATTTCCACCCTAGTTTTAGTTAAATGTTCTCTCTAGGTTTCAGTGAATAAATGGTTTTTTGTTTCCAGTGACTCCATCAACCAAATACAACTGGAGCCAGGGTGAGGCCCAGCTATCTGTTCTCAGGAGCCAGCTCCCGGGGCCTTTCCTATTTCCGGTCAGGCGGTAGCTCCACCGCATTACCAGGTAGCACTCAAACACTGGCGGGGTTATCTTTAGAGGATGTCGGCAAATCTACCAGTGAAAAACCGAAATCAACTGAGCACCTGGATGTCTCACCAAAGGAGCCAATTAGTGAGATGACACTCTGCTACATTCAAGATACAAAGTGCGTACACCAAGTTATTTTTGTAAACTTTGGCCGGTTTTGATTCGAACGACAGAAGCCAACCTCCACCTCCACCTCAAAAATGTCACTTTGCTTCATCAGGGGAAGGAGATCAGATGACTAAGAGGTGGATAGGAAGGAGAACCTAGCTGCGACGGGGGACGACCCCACGCCTTCCTGGAGCTGGAACTTGTCCGCTGTGTGACTCTGCAGTCACAGGCGACAGTTTGCGAGGACCCAACACAATTTCAAAAGACCACCAACTAACTGACCTAACTTTGGCCGCCTGCCCTCCTCCTTCCTTTCCCGTCCCGGAGCTGTGGGCTGGCGGAACGGGGCTCAGAGTCCGGCGACCGCGGCCCAGGACCGGGCGGCTCCGCGGCGCGGACTCCCAGCCGGGGCTCCGGCTTTCTTCCCCGAGGGCGCCCAGCTTGGGGCCTCCAGGCCCGGCCCACACATCAACGGCGTCCTCGACCCGGACCGCGGCCGCTGCGACGGAGGGCCCGGCTCCGCTCCGGGAGGAGGGCGCGCGAGAACTGCCCAGGCTGATCCGAGGGGCCGGCGGCGGCGGCGGCTGCCGGCGCGGCCTTGCGCTCCCGCCCAGGCTGCGGCCTAGGCGCCCCGTGAGAGCTCTCCTCCACACGCGGCACAGCGGCACTGCGGAGCCACGTAACGAGGGATGGAGGGTGGCGACGCCCCAAGGAGCCGCGGCCCGCCGTGGGGTCCCGGCCCGGGGACGCCGCCCCCCGCCTGGCCAGCGCCAGAGAATGGCTTTTACCTTCATCAGCCTCCTGCTGGCCGCCATCTTGGATCTGGTGCTGCTGCTTTCCCAAAATGCATCGCGGTAGGCCAGGCGACTGGAACCCCTCACTTCCTGGAACGGGGGAGGGGCGGACCGGGAAGAGCGCGGACCCGAGGCGTGTGCCTGCTGTGTGCGGATCCCGGGGCTGGAGAATCCTGTGCAGACATAAATGACCTGGATAATGAAAGACCTTTGCCTTATGTAGCCTCCAATCCGACGGCCAATACAAACGGTGCCTGGCACGTAGTAGGTGCACTATAAACAATGTGTACACAAAATAATTGAATAATCAAGATATTTCAGGCACTGCTAAACATTGTGAAGAAATAAAACTGGGAGATGAGAAAGTGACTATGGGACTGAAGAGGTGATACTGTCGGTAAAGTGCCTGCATGTCCAAGTAGGACCTGAGTTTGAGTTTGGATACCCACATAAAAAGCAAGCACGACCCCCTGCACTAGAGGAGGACAGATACAGGCAGATCCCTGAAGTTCTCTGTCTAACCAGTCTAACTAAGTGGGTGAGCCTCAGATTCAAGTAGAAAATCTGTGAAGTGCAAGCATGGAAAAACAACCGTGGACCTCGGGTCTGCTCATGCGTGTGTGTGCATGCCCACCCTAACTTTCACATACAGCCTCCACACACAAGTAACTACAAGGATCTACTTTCAGGAAGTCTCACTGAAGAAATAGTATGAATAAGAGAGCAGAGCAGCCAAACATAAGTGGATTATGCCTTTAACTCTGGCACTTGAGAGGTAGGCAGGACTATTAAGTTGTAGCCAGCCTAGGCTACATAGGATGATCCTATCTCAAAAATAGTAGTAGCTGCCAGGAGTAGTGTCACACACTTATAATTTCATAAATCTAGCAGTTTAGAGAGTGAAGCAGAAAGAGCCAAAGAGAAAGAAACTACTAGATGGTAACCACAGGCAGTCCTTTTACCAGTGGAGAGGTTTTGTTGGGGGAGATTGAGATGTAGATAAGGTCTCCTGTAGCCCAGGGTGGCCTCAAAATTCACTATTTAAACCAAAGATGACCTTAAACTGCTGATCCTCTTCCTCCCACCTTCAAGTGCTGGGAGTGCCTTTGAGTAACCTATACTCCTATCAGTAACTTCAATAAAGTCCTTCGAAGGAATCTTTCCTTTGGTTTTTTGGTGCCTTTCTATCTAGGATGAATTGTCTCTGAAGAGAAATCACATGACACCAGTGAGGAATGGTGTAGTAGGCCACAGAGATCTCAGACCCCATGTTTCAAGAAGGGCTGGGGCTCTAAGGAGACACTGTAAGAAATACAGAGCTGGCAGTGTGAGGCCAACTGAGACGTGAAGAGAATGCCTTGCTATCATCATTCGGCTGACTCGAACTGTTCTTTCAGGAGGGCATTTAACTCAGAGGCTGTCAATTTGTTTTAAACACTATAACTCTTTTTTGTTTGTTTGTTGCTGTTGTTGCTGTTTGAGAAAAAGTCTTGCTATGTATCTTGGCTGGCCTTGAACTCACAGAGACCCACCAGTCTCTGCCTCCCAAGTGCCAGGATTAAAGGTGTGGGTTATGATGTCCATCTTAAAATAATATAACTCTATAAATAGTTCTCCTCCGGCCAGTGAGATGGCTCAGCTAGGAAAGGTGTTTGCCAGAAAGCCTGATGGCCTGTGTCTGATTACTGGAACCCACATGGTAGAAGAAGAGAACCAACTGCCACAAGCTGTCCTCTTACTGTCCCACAATATGAGAATGTATACACACACACACAAATGGGTGCTGCTGGTCCAGAGGACCCAAATTTGATTTCTTTTTTTTCTTTTTTTTTTTTTTTTAAGATTTATTAGCCGGGCAGTGGTGGCACACACCTTTAATCCCAGCACTTGGGAGGCAGAGGCAGGCGGATCTCTGTGAGTTCGAGGCCAGCCTGGTCTACAAAGCGAGTTCCAGGAAAGGCGCAAAGCTACACAGAGAAACCCTGTCTCGAAAAACCAAAAAAAAAAAAAAAAAAAAAAAAAAGATTTATTTACTTATTATGTATAGTGTTATGCCTGCATGTATGACTGCCGGCCAGAAGAGGGCGCCAGATCTCATGGTAGGGGGTTGTGAGCCACCATGTGGTTGCTAGGAGTTGAACTCAGGACCTCTAGGGAGAACAGCCAGTGCTCTTAACCTCTGAGCCATCTCTTCAGCACCCCCAAATTTGATTTCTAGCACCCATATTGTGGCTCACAACCATCTATAACAACTATCTCTAATCTCAGGGTATCTGAGACTCTCTTCTGGCCTCTGAGGGCACTACGTACACCTAGGGGTGCATATATATGTATATGTATACACACACACACCAAATACACATAAAAATACATCTAAAAATTAAAAACTATACAGAGGGAGACAAAGGACGGCAGAGGCAAGAATAATCAAAATTTTGATTTTGTTTTTGAAACAGAGTTTTGGTATATATCTCTGGCTATTCTGGAACTCACTATTTGGAACAAACTGATCTCAAACTCACAGAGATCCATCTGCTTCTTGCTCCCAAGTGCTGGGATTAAAGGTATGCTACAGTACACTTGGCTTTTTTTTTTTAGTGTGTGTGTGTGCGTGTGTGTGTGTGTGCGTGTGTGTGTGTGTGTGTGTGTGTGTGTGTGTGTGTGTGTGTGTGTGTGTGTTGTGTGCCGGTTGAAGCCTGAAGAGGGCACTGGGTCCCCTAGAACTAGAGGGACAGACAAGTGTGAGTCTCTATGCTGGGAGGGCAGCCAGTGCTCTTAACCCCTGAGCCATCTCCCCAGGCCTACTACCTCTTTCTTAAACTAGTATCTTCCTTAGAACATGGCACATGACACTTATGACTAGATCTGCACACTGAAGTAGATAGGACATCCTCTTTCCTTCACTTCCTAGCATCTCCTCTCTAGTCCTGTGGTATCTCCAAGGAACTCTGGACTCCTACAGAATCACGTTTGAAAACAGCCTGTGTAATCTCTCATTTTGTAAGAAAGTGAGATTCAGAGAAAACAGTAACTTAGGTTAAACCTCCAAGTCTGTAACTCTCATATAGTTTATACACAGTGGTGTCCTGAGTCCCACAAAGGAACAGAGTGGAGACCAACAAAGACACTCCACCACCTTCTGGAACACCTCTGACATGCTGCAGAGGGTTCTGGCATGACTAGGCCAGATGGTGACTGTAGGGACTCTAGTGATCCATTCCAAACCCTCCCCCTCTGACAGGCTGACCTCCAGACCTAACTGCCTGAGGTCCCACTTAAGGCTGCAGCAAGTCACACAAGCTGTGAAACCACCCCCACCACCATGAAATTACAAGCTAGTTGCCAGGTGCCCTGGAAAGCCACCTACATCCATGGATCCTCTGTAAAGCAGTGCCCTGTAAGGGCTCCATAAAGACAATCCTTGTAAGCCATGACAAAGTCAAGGGTAAGGCCACGATCCTACTTTCTCACTTGTCTCCCTCACACCACATCTGCTTCAGCTCTGGAAATGACAATCCTGAACAATAATTCTCATGTTCTTGTTTCCCACAGGTATTTGCTATAGGCTCAGGGGACTCTGGTTTGGAAAATAAGAATAGCAATCAGAAGGTCAGGTGCTGAGTACACACCTTAGTTGTAAGGCCCAGTGCTTCCTAGGCTAGGCAGGCACCATAAGGAGTTTCTGATGGAATGTATGAATACAGAAGCCAGGTGTTGATGTGTTCCTTGTAAGCCACTTAATGCCAAGGCCTAGAGAAGAGGAAGGAACCAGATTGAAGAAGAGTTCATGAGCCACAAAAGTAGCCAGAAGAAAGCTACATAGGTGATTTTGAGGAGGGGGGAGTTTTGTTTCTCTTTGGGGGAAGGAGGAGAGTTTGCTGCATCTCCTTTGGGGAATGGACTTGTCAACAACGTGGCTGAAGACTGGCCTTCACTCCTTGCCCAACTTGAGGCCTCTGACCAACACCCTGATGGCCAGTGTACACCCCGAAGCTTCAGGGCCTGCTGGAACTAAGTGTTGGAGCTAAGCAGGCCAGAAGACCAAGCTGGACAGCACCATCTGTCCTTCCTGCCTGTCTGGTCCTAGGACTTTATTTGGCTTGTATGGGAAAGGCACTGCATTTACCTCCTCTGCATCCACTCTGGGCAGAGACACAAAGGTATATTAGACATACCCATTCCTCAAAGGAGAGGCAGCAGCAAGTAGAGTGACCAGGGTCACCAAAGGGCTGTAGTGCTGTGGGGACTCCAAGCCCAGACTGGAGACCAGAATGGCGTCCTGGAGTAGGGAGCTACCAAACTAATACCAATGGACAGAAAAAAGTGAAAGTGAGCAGCAGGTGAGAGGACAAGAACAGGGTTTGGGCCAGGTGTGGTGGCACACTCCTATAGTGTTAACTACTTGGTAGCTAGGCTGAGGCAGGAAGATAAGTGCAAAGCCAGCCTGGGCAATTTAACAAGATCCTGGCTCTAAATAAGATTTTAAAGGGAGCCAGGAGGTGGGGGCACATGCCTTTACTCCCAGCAGAGGCAGAGGCAGGCAAATCTCTGTGAGTGGAGGCCCAGTCTGGTCTACATAGTTCCAGGAAAGCCAGGGATACACAGAGAAACTCTGTCTCAAAAAAATTTTTTAAATAATAATAATGAGCTGGGTATGGTGTCAGGTACACACCCTTAATCTCAGCACTTGAAAGGCAGAGGTAGGCTGATCTCTGTGAGTTTGAGGCCAGCCTGGTCTACATAGCCTGGTCTACATAACAACTTCCAGGCCAGCCAGGACATAGCATGACCCTGTCTCCAAAACAAAAAGAAACACACACACACACACAATGCCACCACCAACAACAAAAACTTAAAAAGACACCCAAGCATGGTGGCACACACCTTTATTACAGCACTTGGAAGGCAGAGGCAAGATCTCTGTGAGTTCTAGGCCAGACTGGTAGACAATGCAAGTTCCAGCTAGCCAGAGACACAGATACGACCATATTTAAAAAAAAATGGTAGGAAGCTGGAGTCATGGCTCAGGGATTATGAATGCTTACTGCTCTTGCAGAAAAGATGGGTTCAGCTACCAGCACCACATGGTGACTAAAAACCACCTGTAGCTTAAATTCCAGGGCATCTGATGCTCTCTTCTGACCTCAAAGAGCATCAGGTATGCATGTGGTGCATGTAAACTCAGGTAGGCACATACACATCAATGAATAAAATAATAGAACATCTTAATTTTTCTTCTATTTTTTGTTTGTTTGTATTTTGAGACAGGGTTTCTCTTTTTTTCTTCTTTTTTTTTTTTGGTTTTTCGAGACAGGGTTTCTCTGTGTAGCTTTTGCGCCTTTCCTGGAACTCGCTTTGAAGACCAGGCTGGCCTCGAACTCACAGAGATCCGCCTGGCTCTGCCTCCAGAGTGCTGGGATTAAAGGCGTGCGCCACCACCGCCCGGCCAGGGTTTCTCTTTTTAACAGCCCTGGCTGTCCTAGAACTCACTCTGTAGACCAGGCTGGCCTTGAACTCACAGAGATCCACCTGCCTCAGCTTCCTAAATCCTGGAATTAAAGGTATGCACCACCACTGCCTAGCTTAACATCTTAAATTTTTTAAAGTGCTGGGGAATGAAGCTGTATCTCAATAGTAAAGTGCTTGATTAGCATGCACAAGGTCCTGGGCTTAATCTCTGGTACTACACACACACACACACACACACACACACACACACACACACACACACACAGACTATATGTATCTCAGTGGTATAACATTTGTCTAGCATGCTTGAGGTGCTGCGTGCAATCAAGCCTCAGTCATTGCCACCTTTCTGATTCAAAAAGGCTCAGATGGGGCTGGAGAGATGGCTCAGAGGTTAAGAGCACTGACTGCTCTTCCAGAGGTCCTGAGTTCAATTCCCAGCAACCACATGGTGGCTCACAACCATCCATAATGAGATCTGGTGCCCTCTTCTGGCCTGCAGCCATACATGCTGTGTACATAATAAATAAATAAATCTTTAAAAAAAAAGAAACAAAAAGGCTCAGATATAAGATGTGGTGGTCAACTCCTGCAATCCCAGCACCCAAGAGGTGGAGGCAGGCAGATCTCTGTGAGCTGGAGGCCAGTCTGGTCTACCTAGTGAGTTCCATTACAGCCAGGGCTATGCAGAGAGTCCGTGTTTCAAAACCAACAGACAAAAAACAAAATAACATAGGAACAAACAAAAGTCCTCAGATATACGCCCAAGACAGGACACAGGCTGAAAAAAGACTTAAGAGGCTTTGAGCTTCCACCAATGCACTGGATAATCTAAAAATTCAGTGCAGGGGCTGCAGAGATGTCTTAGTGGTTAAAAGCACTGGCTGCTCTTCCAGAGGACCAGGGTTCAATTCCCAACACCCACATGTCCACACACAACTATCTCTAACTCCAGTTTAGGGGATTCAACACCCTCATACAGACACGTAGGCAAAACACCACTGCACATAAAATTCAAAAAAAATCATAAGAAAAACTTTAAAAATTCAGTGTAAAAGCTGGGCGGTAGTGGCACACACCTTTAATCCCAGCACTTGGGAGGCAGAGGCAGGCAGATCTCTGTGAGGCCAGCCTGGGCTACAGAGTGAGTTCCAGGAAAGGCTCCCAAGCTACACAGAGAAACCCTGTCAAAAAAAAAAAAAATCAGTGCAAATAGCAAGTGAGGCTGAGACAGAACGTTAAATGGCCTGGGGGGAGGGAGTCCTCACAAGTGACCCTGAGATGGAGCAATTAGAGAGAGGATACTCATGGACTTTGGGGGTAGAATTTTGCAAGTTGAATCCCCACTTAGCTACTTCCCAGCTGCGTGGTATGGAAAGTTCATCTCTGAGCATCCTTACTGGATGAAGGTAAAGGTGAATCAAGAAGCCAGTGGTGTCAGGCAGTGCTGGCGCAGGCCTTTAATCCCAGGACTTGGGAAGCAGAGGCAGGGAGATCTCTGAGTTCGAGGCCAGCCTGGTCTACAGAGCTAGTTCTAGGACAGCCAGGGCTACATAAAGAAACCCTGTCTCAGAAAAACAAAAACAGGAAGCCAGTGGTGATAGCACCATTCACCTGTAATTCTGACTCTTGAGCGGTAGGAACAAGAGAATGAAAAGTTCGAGGCCATCAAAGGGCTGAGGCTGTAACTCAGTAATAGAATACTTCACTGGTATGCAAGTACAGATCCCAAGTAACTGGCCTTGAAAGATAGGTGCCTCAGATGACACTAAGCCCAAGCACAGTGACTTCTCATTTGCAAAATGACATAAAAATTTCAGTTGATGTAGGAAAACGCTTAGCAAACCGGGGTCCTTGGAAGAGTAGCACAGAGATGTTACAACCACTCTGGGTAACCTCACTGGGATTGCACAGTGTCCAACAGAGAGTAGGATGCGTCACAAAAACCATGGAGCAGATGAAGTGTGAACTCAAAACTATGCCCAAAGTATCCCGGGAAGTTCAGAGGCCAGTTTGAAAGGGGTCTCAGGAGTCACGCCCTGCCTAGGGAGAGGCGGCAGGTTGTAAGAGAGACCACCACCCCCAAGGCGGAAGGGGCACGCAGATTGTCCCTAGGGCCGCCGGAAGAGGCGCGCGGGGCGGTTGGCAGCGGCCGGGGGCGGCGGCCGTTGGCTAACTGGCCTACCAAGCTAGCTCTGGCTTCTTGCCCAGCTGCGGCCACAATGACAAAGGATTCACCCACCCCCTTGGGTGGTGGCCGCGCGTCGCCCAAGAAGCCAGGCAGCCCCGGGCCAGCGGCAGCAGTGCTGGAGGAGCAGAGGCGAGAGTTGGAAAAACTGCGGGCAGAGCTGGAGGCCGAGCGCGCGCGCGGCCGGGCGGAACGGCGGCGTTTCGAGACCCAGTCGCGCCAGCTGCGGGAGTCCGCCGAGCAGGAGCGGCAGCAGCTGGCTGACCATCTGCGCTCCAAGTGGGAGGCTCGACGCCTCCGGGAGCTGCGGCAGCTGCAGGAGGAGGTGCAGCGCGAGCGTGAGGCCGAGATCCGGCAGCTGCTGCGCTGGAAGGAGGCAGAGCTTCGGCAGCTGCAGCAACTGCTGCACCAGGAGCGCGATGTTATAGTGCGCCAGGCTCGGGAGCTTCAGCGCCAACTGGCCCAGGAGCTGGTGAACCGCGGTTACTGCGGACGCTCGGGGGCGCCGGAAGCCTCCGCGGCTCAATGCCACTGTCGCCTGCAGGAAGTGCTGGCGCTGCTGCGCTGGGAGACCGACGGCGAGCAAGCCGCGCGCATCCGCCACCTGCAGGCGGCGCTGGACGCGGAGCGCCAGCTCTTTTGTAAATACATAGTCGATCACTTCCGCTGGCAGCCCGCTTTGCGGGAACCCACGGACCCCCAAGCCGCGCACTCCTTGGAAGAGCCACCCCTAGAAGCCCAGAGCAACACTCGTGGCACCCCAAAGCCTGCTCGTCGACTCGGATCTCACGAAAGCCTGAGCAGTGGCGTCAGGGTTAGCTCTCCAAACGACCTGCTGCCCACACGCGCCAGCTCCCTCGAATACTTAGCAACAGCACATTCCTGCTCACTCGACAGCACACTGAGTTGTCCCCGGGCTTCCGAGTCCGAGGTAGGAGCCTCTTCGACCAGCGCCCCCATCTCAGACACCTCCAGTCCCCATCCGCCGCCCCAGCTACCATCAATACATAGAAAACCTACTGACCTGCAGGAAGAAAGACCTGAGAACAAGCCCGGTCAGGACTACAACGAACTGGTGAGGCAGAACTCGGAGTTGGCCGAAGCATTGCAGGTGCTGATTCGCCGCTGCTGTGACCTGCGTGAAGAGAACTTGCAGCTGCGGCGCGCGGGCTTCTCCGATGAGGCCGATGAGAAAGTGAAGTGGTTCAAGGTGAAGCACGCAGAGCTGACTGACCTCGCTCAGCGCCTTGAAGACAGGGCCCGCAAGCTGCAGGAGACCAACCTTCGGGCCGTGAGCCCTCCTGTACCTGGTGAGAGCCTCGAGGACCTGGGCCAAGTGTTTGCCCGACATCGCGCTCAGGACCTGTCAGAACAGGCTGACGTGCTGCAAGCCAAGGACCTGCAAATCGAAGCACTGAGGCGGGAATGCCACCTGCTGCTGGCGCTCATCGCGGCGGACCTCGGCAGCTCCTCGCTTCCTGGAGAGGGCGCCACCTGCGCACATTGGTGCAACATCAATGACTTGGACCGGCTGCAGCGTGAGTCTCAGCGGGAAGTGCTGCGTCTGCAAAGACAGTTGACTCTACATCAGAGTAAAGCCGGCGGCGCCCGGGCGGACGCAGGCAGCCTCAGCTCACCCTCCGAGACAGCACGACACCAGGTGCAGGCTCTGGAGCAGCAGCTGGGTGCACAGCGGCGGGAATGCGAGAAGCTGAGCGCTCAGGCAGCCGCCGCAGAGCGGCACTACGAGGAGACAGAGGCACAACTGCAGGCCGCGCTGCACAAGGGCGCCAGGCTGTCAGAGGAGAACATGAGGCTGCAGGCTCTGGCCAACTGGGTGAAGAAGATGGCAAACGAGAACAGCAATGTTCCCCGGCAGCAAAGCCACGCGAGGCTGAGGCAGGAACTCGAAGTCAATGGCCTGCTGGCTGAGCAGCTGCTGCAACAAGCGGGATATGTGCAAGACAGGTGGTGGCAGCTGCAGCACTACCAAAATAAAGCCCCGAGTGACCTCCAGGCTTCCGGGAAAGAGATGCAGGGTTTGCAGTGTCAGCCTGGCCACCCCCCGGAGACACTGGAGACCACCCAAGCTTCGGAGTCCCAAGCCAGGGGTAGCAGGAGGTCCAAGTTCAAGCCAAAGTCTGAAGAACATGAATTGTCACTGCCTACCAGAGACATACAACCTCCCGTTTGTCTTTCCCAGCAGGAGAACTCAGTTACCCTTGGGGAACCAGCTGGTGTCCTCCAAGTATCAGACAAAATTCCTACCAGTCAGCCTCTGGACTCCAGACCCCAAGCCAAGAAAACCAGTTCACACTCAAATTCCTCCTCCGAGGTAGAGTCCATGTGGGCTACAGTGCCATCTTGCCTTTCTCTGGACATGGACACAGCAAGTGAAGTGGATGATTTAGAACCAGACAGTGTGTCCACTCCCCTGGAAGCGAGGAGCGCTGAGGCTCCCACCACTCCCAAGCTCAAGATCTTCTTGGCTAGGTATAGCAACAATCTGTTTGAAGGGCCTAGTGAGCATTCTCAAGGCGAGCTACCCCTCACAGCCGGAGATTATGTATATGTCTTTGGGGACATGAATGAGGTTGGCTTCTATGAAGGGGAGCTTGTGAATGGGCAGCGAGGGCTAGTGCCCTCCAACTTAGTGGAACAGATTTCAGGAAGCCCTATCCTGAACCACCTATTCCCCAAGTCCCCTGAACTTGGTCCCACTACACTACCAGCTGAGCATAGCAAAGTCTTGAAGAAAGGCACCTTATTACTTGGGGAAGTTAAGGGATCATTGGAAAGAGGCCTATGCCAGGTGGGAAGGGCAGACTCTAAGACAGATATGGCAGTAAAGATTTTGGAAACCAAGACAGAAGCCTGCTGGCTGGGCTTGAAACCAAGCATGGATGAGCAGAGTTTCTCCAGACCCCTTCTGGAGGCTAAAGGAGTATTCTGTCTGGCCCCCATGCAATTACGGCTACAGAATGTCACAGCTAACTCTGCCACAATTACATGGGCCTCTGGCAGCAATAGATACCCCCATGTGGTGTACCTGGAAGATGAAGAGCATACCCTAACTCCCTCAGGTGTGAGCTGCTACACCTTCCAAGGCCTACATCCTGGCACCCGGTACCGGGTGAGGGTGGGGGTGCAGCTACCTAGGGACCTGCTACAGGTGCTCTGGGAAACAATGTCCTCCACTGTAACTTTTGATACACCTTTAGCAGGACCCCCTGACCCTCCTCTGGATGTGCTGGTGGAGCACCATGCCTCTCCAGGTGTCCTGGTAGTCAGTTGGCTCCCTGTGACTATTGACTCAGCTGGGTCCTCCAATGGAGTACAGGTCACTGGCTACGCTGTGTATGTGGATGGGTTCAAGGTGACAGAAGTTGCTGATGCCACTGCTGGAAACACCTTGCTAGAATTTTCCCAGCTTCATGTTCCCCTAGCATGCCAGAACGTTTCTGTGAGGACCATGTCACTGTATGGTGAGTCTCTGGATTCTGTACCAGCTCAGATCCCCGAGGACTGTTTCTCTTGCTGCCCATTCCTGGAGACACCTCCCTTTAGCCTCACAGATGGTGACCCTTCTCCCTGCAGAGCTGTCTCCCCTGTTGGTCACCAGAAGCTGGTACAAGCTTCTCTGACTACCAAGTCCAGCCCCCATAACCCCGGAAGCTGTGAGGAGCCTCAGGCTAAGTTCCTAGAAGCATTCCCTGAGGAACCCCCAAGGAAGCATTCACCAGTATCCAACCTGAGCTCAGAAGGGGCAGACACCCAAGCCCAGGTACCTACTGAAGCCTGGAAGGACTATGAAAAGGGCCCATCTTTTCAGGAGAGTTCCCAGAACCACAAGCCACCTCTGCTCTTTGGCCAGTCTGGGGTGGAAGAAGACCGCTCCCTGCACATGTGCATCAGTGGAAGACCTGCCCCAGGATTCATCCATCTCTCCCCAGAGATTGGGCCCAGAGAAGTACTGTGTTCAGAGAAGCCTGACCTGGAGAAAGCCCTTCTTCAAAAGCAGTATGCCCCGATGCTCCCTCCTCACCAGCAAGGCTCCATCCTGTGCCTGACAGCTGACCTCCATCATGTTTTGGAGGAGAAGGAGGCTCTGTGTTTAAGTTCTCGGTGCGCAGAGAAGCTAGGGCAAAGAAAGAACAAGTTCCAAAGCGGACAAAGACAGGAGACTCCAGGAGGCAAGAGAGAGTGCCAGTTTCAGGAGCCTACCTCAGTGCTGTGCCCAGTGCCAACCAGCAAAGTCATTAAGATGGCAAGTGGTGGCCCTGAGCAGCTGGGGACAGAAGCTAGCAGCTCAGGCAGGGTCTTCATGGCCCTCTTTGATCACAGCCCCCTGGTGATGTCTGTCAACTCCAAGGCTGCGGAGGAGGAGCTGGTATTCCAGAAAGGGCAGTTGCTGAGAGTGTGGGGTTCACGGGATCCCCACGGCTTCTACCGTGGAGAGTGCAATGGACAGGTGGGCAAAGTCCCTGGGCACCTGGTAGTCGAGGTGCAGGTGGGCGCTGAGCAGACTGGGGAGAGGTGGCATTTCCCACCACAAGGGCACCTGCACTCTAAGGCTCAACATGAAGACTTGGAGCGTCTCACCAACTTCCAAGGATCTTTCACGCCTAAAGGGAACTCCAGAACACCCACACTGTGGACCCCAAAGACAATGGTGGCAGCTCTGGACTATGACCCCAGGGATGGCAGAGCAGGGGTCCGGGCAAAGGGCAAGCTGGTGTTGAGGACTGGTGATGTGGTCACAGTTTATGGGCCTGTGGATAATAAGGGATTCTACTATGGTGAGTATTGTGGACACAGAGGCCTGGTCCCAGCCCACCTGCTGGATGACTTGCCTGTCCTTGGAGAGTAGGCACGACTCCTTCGTAGGGTGGTAGCCTCTGGCTGCCCACACCCCTTGGAAAGAGAAGCAAGCACGGGTACTTTCACACAACACCCCCTCCTCACCAGTCACCTTAAGCAACGCTGGCTTCCGGCAACATCACCTGAAAGTGATAACAGTCCTCAGATATCCTAGTGTCCAACAGAGGCAGGACTTAATCTGAGTTATTTCCAAAAGAAAACTAAACCAGCCAAGCCCTGAGAGTTTGATAGGCTGTTTCAGACATGAATAACCATGATAGGTATTAGAACTGCCTTTTTCTGTGGTCAGTATGTTTTCTTTAGCAGGTTAACATTATCCATCCATTGCCTTGTATGAAAGTCTCAAAAAAGTTGCGTCTTAAAATAAAGAAGCAATCAGTATACTATTTTTCCTATTTTATGTTCAACCCTCATTAAACTGTTCATAGAAGGGCTGGAGAGGTGGCTCAGCAGTCAAGAGCACTGGCTGCTCTTCCAGAGGAACCAGGTTTGATTCCCAGCACCCACATGGCAGCTCACAAGTGCCTATAACTCCAGTTTCAGGGAATTCAACACCTTCACACAAAACATATGAGTGCACATGAAATAAAATTTTAAAAAGTTCATAGAAAAAGAGAGCACTTTGGAAGTTAAAGCATGACCCAGGGAACAAGAGCATATATACCTCCTCTCTGCTCCCTTTTGCCCAGTGGGTGTGAAATGTCGGCAGAAGCATTTTCCTGAAAGCAAAGGCACATCCTTGCCCTAGGGTGAGCCTTACTCAGGGCAGGCTGATCCAGCTAAAGAGAACTCAAAGAGACGTAGCTGAGAAGTCCCTGGGCTGGGGCTCTGTACTGTTAGGTGGAGTCAGTGTTCCTTACTGATGGTGCCCCCCTGATGCTTTGTAAGAGATTTGCTTGGGAAAGCATTTCATGCCAAACCTTGCGGAAAGATCTATGGGGATTCAAAGAAAACTGGTTCATGTCTGGAATCACACACCTCCTCCCATGGGCCTTTAGGGCTCTCCAGGCCAGTGAACACGGAGGGCGGTCTTTATTCTTCTTCCTTCAGATCCAACAGTGCTGTCAGGGAAAGAACTCTGCCTTCCCTAGTGTAGCCAGAAATGACTGGAAGCCCCCGAGGCAAAAATAGTGAGCCGTCTTTGTTCCACGTGGAGGAGGTTAATCTTCACTTGAAGACTGCTGTCTGAAAGTGGGAAGAAGAAAGGGGCAAGACAGAGACCCCTCAAAGAATATACAAACTCCACGGAAAGCCACGGTGTACAGCCACGCACTCCTTCATCATCTGAGAGCCGAGATTGTAGAGTGGAGAGGAAATCCACCCGAGTCCCCACGGCTTGAGGGCCATTGTCCTTTCAGTCTCTATGACCCAGGAGGAATGGTCTCAGGCTGGCTCTGCAGCTAATGAGGGCCCTGAGAACTGCTCAGCTTGCTGGACTTAGCCTCCCACTCTGGAGAGCAGGCAGGCCTTTTCTCTTACTCCGGTACCAGCTGTGAACAACACCTTTCACTATTTGTATCAGTGTATTTGTGTGTGTGTGGAGGTCAGAGGACAGCTTGTGGAAATGAGTTCTCTCCTTCCGCCATGGGGGTCCCAATGATGCAGTTAAGGATTTTAGGCTTGGTAGCAAGCGCCTTTTCCTGCTGAGCCATCTTACAGGCCTCACAAGCTTTTTAAAATTGTTAGGCTGGGGCTGATGGTTCAGTTTGTAAAGGCACCTGCAGCCAACCCTACATATTTGAATTCAGTCCCCAAGCCCACATTGCGGAAGGAGAGAGCTCTTTCAAGTTGTCCTTTGACCCCTACTGGTGCCGTGGGATTCACAGGCCTACACACATATACATACACAGTAAGTATAAAAACCCACTGGGCATAATGGCCTATGCCTTTAATCCCAGTTTTCAGGAGGCAGAGGCAGATGGATCTCAGTGTGTTCAAGGCCAGTCCGGTCTACACCGAGTTACAGGATAGCCAGAACTATAAAGAAACCCTGTACCACTCCCTGATCAAAAAAAACAAAACAAAACAAAAACCAAAACCACTGAAGGGGCTGGAGAGACAACTCAGCAGCTAAGAGCACTGGCTGCTCTTCCAGAGGACCGGGGTTCAATTCCACATGGCTGCTCATAGCTGCCTGGACCTCCAGATCCAGGGCATCCAATACTTCCTTCTGGCCTCTGTGACACCAGGCACACACGGTGCACACACATACACACAGGCAAAACACTCCTATACATAAAATAAATTCTTAAAAATAAAATTAAAACGTAAAAAGCAACCAAAATATAAACTTCACTATTGCAAGAATTAGGGATGTAACTTGGTGTGGACCATTTATTAGAACGTTCAAGGCCCTGTGTCTGACACCTGGCATGCTGAAAAAGCACCTTGAATTAAAGCTCTTGGAGACAGTTTCTTTGTGTCGCCCTGGCTGTCCTGAAACTCACTCTATAGAACAGGCTGGCCTCAAACTCAGAGATTCACCTGCCTCTGCCTCCCAAGTGCTTAAAGGCCTGTGCCACCACAGCCTGGTTTTAAAAAAAAATTTTTTGTTGTTTTAAGGTTTGTGTTTTTCCAGACAGGGTTCCTCTGTGAAACAGTCCTTGGCTGTCCTGGATCTCGCTCTGTAGACCAGGCTGGCCTCGAACTCACAGAGATCCGCCTGCCTCTGCCTCTCGAGTGCCGGGATTAAAGGCGTGCGCCACCACCGCCCGGCCAGCCGCCATCTTCACCACTTTTAACTACAATCTCAGCGAGAGTCCCAGGAACTTTTCATTTCACAAACTGAAACTCAATCTACCAAACTGTAGTGCCCATCCCCCGTAAAGCTCCTCCCAACCTCTAACTTCCTTTGAAACAGTGCCTGGAGTGCTTTCAGTCAGAGCCATGACCAGTCTCCTGCAGGACACGTTCTCACCTACATATTCCCTCCGTTTTTCTTGCCTATTCCGCAACATTCCATCTGGGCAGACCTGTTTGGGCCACATTTACGTTGTAAGACCTTATGTCAGAGAAAACAGGATTTTTCTTTTTTTTCGCCTTGCATGGCTGGAATCCAGCTGGCTCCCCTCCCCACACACATGTCCTGGGTAAGGGCATGCATGTGAAGGTCAAAGAACAATCTGGAGTGGATGATCACTTTTATCCTGTGGGTCCCAGAAATCTGCCTCAGGTCCTTAGGCTTGTAAACACTTTTACCCACTACACCAGATCCCTGGTTCCTCTCCCCACCCCACACCCTCTTAGAGCACACTAGAGTGTTCCCCCACACCCACAGGAGTCATTTCCCCAAGGACTGAAAACAAGAGTCAGGCCTGCACCGTCTGGCAACAAGCTGCCATCTTCTCACAGCCTCCCTCCATACATCTTAAATCCCAGAGGTCATAGGAAATTTCAGTAAATAATTTTAAAAAATAGACTGGAAGAGATAGGGCAGTGAAAGAGACAGGAAGCTGAAGAAGGCCTAAGTAGAACACTGGGACAGGAAGGCATTGTTTGGGGCCCAGCTTGGTTCTTTGAAGAACCCTGAGGAGCTAGAGACCCTGAGCGGGGAGAAGCGAAGGCTGTGTGGGTCTTGTGAGGTCCTGAAGGCTACAAAAAAACCAGGAAGGACCTGGATGCCTGGCTGTGTCTGTAGTAGGCCCCCTCCCTGGCTGACCACATGGCTAGAGACCCCACTCCTGTCCGGGAGGTAGCTAAGGAAGACCTGAAGGGCCTCTGCCATGGGCAGAAGGACTTAAGTATAGGGATCGTTGAGCTGGTGTTGACTGACACTGTCCACCTTTGCCATTTGTCCCCCTGCTTACCTGTTCCTGATGCTCCCTGTCACTGTCTGCACCTGTGTGTTTTCAAAACTGAAGACGAACTGTTCTATCCAGTTAGGTATTGTGGTAGGAGTAAGAGACCCTGTCTTAAAACAAAGCAGGGTTGGAGCCATAACTCAGTTTGTAGCGTGCTTGCTTGGTGTACAGGAAGCACTAGGTTGGATTCCTCACACTGAATACAATGGGACATAGGGGTACATATCAGCAATCCCAGTATTCAGAAGGGCAAGGCAGAAAGAAGAGTTTAAGATTGTTCTCTTCAGTGACATATAGAGTGTGATGTTAGCCTTGTCTGTGTGAGATTCTATTTAACACAGGAAAAACTGGCTGTGGTGGCACCACCGTTAATCCCAGTATTCAGGAGGCAGAGGCTACCCTGGTCTACAAAACAAGTCCCAAGAGAGCCAGGACTACCTAGGGAAACCCGCTCTCAAAAAACAAAAACAAAAAAAGTCAACCGTGGAGGCTGGAGAAATGGCTCAGCCATTAATAGCCATGGTTGTTCTTCCAACAACCAGTGTTGAATTCCCAGCACCCACATGGCAGCTCATAACCTTCTGTAACTCCAGTTTCAGGGATAGGATACCCTCTTCTGACCTACCAGACACGCATATGTTGCACAGACATACAAGCAGAAAAAAAAAAAAAAAAACAACCCATACACAGAAAAAGATTTTTTTTTAATTATTTAGTTAGTTAGTTAATGTGCATTGATGTTTTGCCTGCATGCATGTCTGGGTGAGGGTGCTAGATCATCTGGAACTGGAGTTACAGACAGTTGTGGGCTGTCATGTGGGTGCTGGGATTTGAAGCCTAGCCTCTGGAAGAGCAGCCACTGCTCTTAACCACTGAGTCATCTTTCCAGCTCTTAGAAAAAGATTTTTTCATTTTTGTTTTTTCAAGGACAGGGTTTCTCTGTGTAACAACTTTGGCTGTCCTAGAACTTGATTTGTACTCCAGGCTGGCTTTGAACTCACAGAGATCTGCCTGCCTCTGCCTCCCAAGTGCTGGGATTAAAGATGTGTGCCTTTAGCCTCAATGAAACATTTCACTATTAGGATAAGAATTTATACTGTATCGGGGCTGGAGAGATGATTCAGAGGTTAAGAACACTGGCTGTTCTTCCAGAGGTCCTGAGTTCAATTCCCAGCACCCACATGGTGGCTCACAATCATCTGTAATGAGATCTGGCTCCCTCTTCTGGCCTGCAGGGATACATGCAAACAGAACAGTGTATACATAATAAATAAATAAATCTTTAAAAAAATTTATACTGTATCAAACTGATAATAGAAAAATAAATAAATAAAAATGAAAAAAAAGATGTGTGCCTTTAATGTGTGTGTGCGTGCGTGTGCGTGTGTGTGTGTGTGTGCGCGTGTGCGTGTGCGTGTGTGTGTGTGTGTGTGTGTGTGTGTGTGTGAGCACAGGAGCCCACAGATGCTAATGACATCAGATCCCCTAGAGCTGGAGTTACAAGAACCAATCTCAGGTACTCTGCAAGAAAAGTCTGCATCTTGACTCCTGAGCCTCCTCTCCACCCACCAGCAGTTTCTT